CTAATTATTAATAGAACATCCCTAACTTATAAATAAAATGCATGATAATTGTTTGGTTTTAATTAATATCATTTATAAAGAAGCGTAAAGAATTTTCTTTATTAAACTTTAAAAATAATTACTAACAAACTAACATCAAAAATAAACCTATAAAAAATCATAATATGATTTCAAGGATTGAAATCAAAAAAGTTGATAAATTCGATTTTTGAGATAATTAAATAAAAGATTTGTAAATAAAGTATTCAAATTAAGAATATGATTATGTTTAGTTGTTGGTTTGTTTTTATGAATATATTGTTAGGAATGTTTAAGATTAGAAGATCATATGGCTCATCCAAATGATCAATATGTTGATAAAATGAAAAAAATCAAATGATAAAGGGATGAATTCATTTAAGAATTAACTTCAAGTTTTGAAAATATCAATTAATCAATTTCAATTTTAAGTTAAGGATTAAAATAAAAATATTAATTATCAGAAGAATAAATCTACAGATTTAGTAAATGATAATTAAATTTAATTTTGTATTAGAACCCCAAAATATAATGAAACCACAAGTAGAATATTGTTAGATGCCAAAAAATGTTCAAATGAAATATTCATTAAATCAATAAAATTATTATTGAGTTTTAACTACTTAGAAGGTAAAATATTGATAATCCAGCCGATAAAGTATTGTTTATATATTTAAAAAACCTTGAATCATTATGTCTAAAAGATAAAATAAATTAAATACCAATATATTAGCTACTTCTTTAATTGCTATTGTATTTAATCTTTAATTTAATGGGACTTTACAAATATAACGATGCAATTACTTTGATATTAGATTCAAAACACCATGATTCGTTATGGGTATTGGGGATACTATTAGTTTATATACAAAGATATCAACATAAATTTTAATTTCTATTTTTTTCCAATTTTTTAATTTACTAACTATCTATATAACTTTATAGTTTATTATTTTGATGAACAAATCCTGAATATTTACCTTAAATTTCCAGTAATTTCATTAAAATATTTATTTCTTCTAAATTTCATATCTCTTGATCTTTTTTGATTATTTGTGCCAAGTTCTGTAATCCTCTTCGAGTATTCAAAAGCAAAAAGCATTTATTTGTATTAGTTGTAAAAGAGCAATTTTGCTTTTTTCTTAGTTTTTTCAAAAGTATTCTTATCTAGTTCTAATTTTAGATATAATTTCCTTTTATATTTTAATTAAAAAATTTAAAATATAAATTTTGAAAAATAATTTAGATTTTTCAGAACTTTAAGAAGCAAAATAGTTAAGAAAAAGTTGCATCTTTACCGCCACTTTCAGTCCAAAAAGATAAAACAATTTGCAACATTCAAGATACGGCAAAATATAAAACTTTGATAAATAGAAAATCTTTTTAAGAGTAATTAATTGTTATCTAAATTAGCTTAAAGGCTAAAAATCTTGTTCTGGGCGTCCAAATAAATTTTGATTAGTTTCGTTAAAGTTCATGGATGGATGTTGCTAGTTAAAATTGTATAAAAAATATAGGTGTACATAGAGCATAAATAAAATTAGTGAAAAGTCCTCCAAGAATTTAAAGATGAGAATTGAAAAAGTGCAAGATAATTTTAGTGTTATTAAATATTAAATGAAAAAAACTTCTATTATAATTTTATTAAATTATCTTAAAAATATCAACTACTTGAAATGTATAAATATTTTCTTAAATTCATCAAATATTCTAGAATAAATAGAACAATAAAGATTAATTGAAAACGTTATCCATTATTTTTTAATTAGTTATCCTTTTTTTTTCAATTAAAATTAGGAGATTAAAAAGTATCATATTATCATAAAATTTATGCACTTAAATTTGCAGCATCATTTAAGTTGAACTAATTTATTTCAAATTCACTATCATCAAAGCTGTTAGATTTGTTTCAAGCACAATTTATTGCTAATAGAAGATTAGAGAAATTTTAGTTATATGAAATTTTCGATTTTTTTTAAATTTTGTAAAAAGGAATAATTTAGACTAACTACTTATTTGATAATCCATACATATTTATTATTGCGCTTCCTCATTTCTCTATTAATTTTGCTCTAAATAAACGATTACTATTCTTAAAATTTTTTAATTGTATAATTATATTAAGTAATGTAAAACTGAAATAAGATCTAATAATTTACTTTGAAAACGAAGGCTTTTTAATCATTTAAATTTCATAAATTTAATATGATGATATTAAAAATACATAATATATAATTAAATATTTTAACATATTTCACTATTTTATCTAATAATATTCATAAATTTTTAAACTTTTTTAATTAGATTTCTTTCGACTAATTATCCCAAGTGATTAAATACTAACCGTCACCACTTAATCGTCCATAAATTTAATAATTGGCAAATTCAATAGATTATTAAATTATAAAGTCACCATTTTCTTTCCTTCTTATTAAATTCACATGCCTGCCATTCTTATTTACTAGAAGGCATTTTTCCTTTAAGTATTATTAGGGAAAAAAACAATCACAACCACTTTAATCACACTATACAGTAATTTCCTTAGATTTACGATATTATTTAGTATTAGAATCCAATTCATATACATACATTTATTCTTTACAATAAGGTTAGAATGTAAATGAGTGATCATCAATAATACATAATCGACAACCAAATTAATCAACTTTTATCTTTTATGTAACACTCCACTATTTATCTAAATTAGATTATTCTATTACTAATATTTATGAATCATTTGAACAAGATATCAATTTATTTTATTGTTAATTTAAACTTAAAGAATATATGTGACTACTATGATCAGTCATGGTTTATTAACACAACCATTATTTCTATTTTATCCAAAATTTGATGGTTTTATCTTAACTACCTGATATTATTAAATCATCAGTATTATTTAACAATAAACAAAATATACTTGAAGAGTGCCCATTTAATATTTATTAACAACTCCATTAATTATTTCCACTTACTTACCATATTATAATTGATTTGTCTTAACTTCCAGATAAAAAATCATTTGTATTTTCCATAAAATTTAAAGTATAAATATTATTTTTATGCTCGCTTAACAATTAAATTTGTTTCAATTTCCCTTATTAATGTTCAAATACTTTAATGTCCTTATTACATCCAGCTAACACAATTGTTTAATCCTTATTAAAAGCAATTGCTTTACAAACATCACCTTATTTGATTGAATTATGATTGATGAAATCCAAAGTGAAATTTTTTTAATTTGCTTAAATTCTGCTTTTGTGCTCTGACTATTCAAATACAAATTATTTTTTCTCAGAGTTTTGAATCTACTAATTACATTTCGTCTTTTAATCCTTTTTTTTTTTAAATATCTTATCTATAATATATTTAATTTATTCGATAGATTATTTAAGTTGTTTAAATAATATTTCTTCACAGATTTCCAATTAACATAAACCTTTTATAATATTATCAATTTAAGAAAGTCCTATTTATGAAAACTATTGAATGTTGAAATTATAATATGGAATAAATAAGTTTAAAAGACTATTTAGGGACAGTTAACACTCTTAAACATTCTTCTAAACATTTTAAGCTTCATGAACTCTTTGCAAAATCCATTCATCTAAAAGTTCTAAAGATTTGATCTTGTTAATATGTTGACCATGGCTAGGCAAACAAGAATTACAATAAGGCCTTTAATTGGAGCATAAACTATCTATACAACATCCTATTATTTATTAATTTCGATGATTAGCTTGAGTACATCTAATATCCATTTTCTATTTCTATTAAAGTTATTAATCTAATACAAAATAATTTTTGATCCTATAAATATTTAAACCTCATTATATAATTGGATTTGAAAAATTTTATTTAGAATTAAAACTTAAAACTAAAGTTATTTTATAAATAGAAAGAGTAGAGTTTAAATTTTTCAAAAATTCTTAATAATATTGAACTTAAAATCTTTAAAATATAATTTAAGCCTTAGAATTGGTATGAGATATAATTATTTGCAGTAAACTTATTTATCAATAAGGGAAAAAGCAATTCGAAAATTGAATTCTTTGGAAAGGAATTAATTTTTTAAAAACACACAAAGAAGAATAGTTTGCAGGCTCAATTATAAAAACTGAAGCAAGAAATAATCATTTTCAAAAAGTCAAAATGTGAAGATTAAAAGTTCTACATCCTTAGAGCAACTTCTATTTTTTAATTTTTTATAAATTTCAAAAGGAATTTATTGATTCTAATGGATGTGTGATTTTTTTGAAAGAGTAATTTATTTATTTTGATTAATAATCAACAATGATACAATTTTTCAAGAAATTAATCTGTATGGTCAGGCAAACTAAATCTTAGTATATGCCATAAAAATCAAAATTTATCATCTTCTTCAAAACTTATTATTCTTACTTGAAATGTATCACCCATTATAGAGACTCTAGAAACTGCTAAATTGCAAAGTCCTCATATATTTTGACTTTAGGTATTATAAATTTAAAATTAAACTCCCGTCATGCTTGTTAATCAATGTTTGGGTATAGCTGGTGAGGTTTCCAAAAACATATCTTAACTATTACTTAAAATGTATGCCAAAATAAAATGCCTATTCAAAAACATTCTAATACTATCCAATAATATACTCAAATTAACATAAATTAATTTTTCCTACATTAGCATGAATTAAAGTAATAGCAATAAGAATAACTAATTAAGTTTAATGGACAAAATTTTATGCCATTAGAAAATCTAAGAGCAATATTGAGTGAAAATTTTCTCTAATAATAAATTATTGAATAAAGTAAGGCTTATCATCATCTAAGTTAATTTTCAATGATTAAAATAAAATTTATTAAAAACATAGGACTAGACATTTAATGAGCTAAAGTATGTTATAAAGTTATAAATTATATCAACTAAATAATTTGTTTAATAAATCATTCAAAAATTTCTTTGGCTATGGCATATTTTAAGTTGATTAGCTTTATTACTATTTCAACCCTCAAAAAAGAAGTTAATAGGATTTTTAATTTATTAAGTGACTGATTTTTAGAAAGAAAGGTTTATCAAATATATTAGAAAATAGATAATACAAGAAGGATTTTGCAGAATTTTGTTTATTTAATTTATTTTTAAAAAAACTGCCTTATTCTTATTGATATTCAATTTTGTAAATTTTTTAATGATTCAAGAAGCATCATTTCTCTAAAAGTTAGGTAAATTTATTATGTAGCTAATACTATTTGTTTTTTGAATTGTAAAAATAAACCTAATCAATATTAGACCAAAAGATTTCAGTTTATTTGAAAATATATTCCTCTTCGCTAACATAGTTAAATAAGAATAATATTGTACTTAAATTTATGCAATTTAGATTTTTCCTTTATATTTCCTCCTTTATTAAATATATAAATCTAATAAGTAGCTTCAACAAAATTTATCTAAAATAAATACTTTCAATTTTTTTTGACCATATTAATATAATATATTTTAATAATAAAATATGAAGTGTTGATTTTTTATTAGTTTTTAGCATAATTATAATTTCTTATATAAAATAATGCAATTAAATTAAAAGATAATAAGTTAATTGTTATTTATACTGTTCTAGATTTAAATGGATATCTTTAAGTATAAGTAACTTACCAATGAAAATAATGAAATAGTTGGATTGTGCTCGTAATTTTTAGAATGCAAGAGAATATTTTTAAATATGATTTATTCTGATTATTAGAAAAATTGTAATAACTTTTCTAAAATGAACTCATATACTAATAAATTTATGCAAGTTTACAAACAATTCACTCAATCATTTAAAGAAATCTTAACAAGACTTTATTAGAATTTTCTTAAATAGATTTTAGAAATAATTTAATAAGGGTGAAAAGAATTTAATTGTAATTTATGAAATCTATTTCCTATTCATTTATATTGAATTATGATTGTATCCAAATTGAATCACTACAAAAAGCTATTTAATGTTACCAAGCAATTTCTTCTTTCAATCAGAAAAATAATGAATAATGTAGCAAAAAGGGTAATTAATTGTTTAAAATCATGGAATTATCTATTTATATATTGATTTAGGGTTTTATCAGGGTTGTATCGAATTTGAATAATTACAAAAAAGTGGCAGAATGTTACAAATAAACTATTTCTATTGAATTGAAAAAGGATCATGGATATAACAACTCATGATCATTGCCGAGATAATTAAAATATCAATAAATTTGCATTGTATCATAAAAATTTGTATTCCATAATTAAGATACATTGTTAATAATTAAATATTTATTTATGGAATGGTTTACTGATATCTCTTTTGCTCGTTATTAGAAATTCAAAATTGTTAATTCGATTTCCAATACGATTATAAATTATTTTATGGTTATTGATACCAACTCTGTTTTGATTTGATAAAACCAATATTTGGTAGATTTTTTTATTAATTGAAATATTATTATAAAAGAATAACATTAATATTAATAATCATGAAAGGAAAGAAATTTAAAAAATTATTTTGGCTAAAAATTTTTTTATCCAATAGTTGACTTAAAGCAAATTTAAAATTAAAAAGAAAATTTCGATACCCATAATAAAATGATGATTAAGGTTTTTGTTAGGAATTGAATGAGATTGATCTTAGACCAGATTTATGTAATATTGAATTGAATGTAATGGAAACTCACTTTCTTTATTATAAATGTAACGAAAATTCTTGTGAGTTAATTTTAATTAATTAAGATATTGATTATCCTTTGAAGTTTAAAGGAAATGACTATAAAGCTAATAAAGCAATTTAAAAATCAGATATTGAATGTAAATATAATTTTCAAAGTAATTTATATATTCCAAGTTAAAATCATGATTCCCTTCTTGAATAAAATGGGTGTCTATATTTAATTCACCTAATAATAAGAGTACATGCTAATGGTCAAATATAGGATGAATTAGGTAAACTTAATTTAATTCTTTAAACATGTGAAATTTTAGGAAATTCGTATGCTTATGCTTGTTAATAAGTTTATGAAAATAATAAATTAGGTTGTTATATTGTGATAAGATTAAAGAGAAATGTATTTCTTTACTATAAAGATTAAAAAGGGTTCTACAGAAGAATAATTAACAAAATAAAGATTCAATCTTAAACTATTGAATAGTTTAAGTTGTCAATATAATGAATTGGAATTGAATAGAGTAGATTATGGATCAATAAAAAAAGAAGTGGCATGCCGATGAAACTAAGATAAATGTTAATATATTATAAGGAAAGCCAGTATTATATTTATATCTTGTTTACATATATAATTTGAAAATGCTAAAGTATGTAGTTCTGCTGAGTATTAGAAAGGAATCTATAGATATGATTAAGATTCAACTTTATGTATAACAACAGAAAAAATGGGTATGGAGTTACAAAAATAGGATTAAATAGTTACATGATAGCTTTAGGATTTTGTTTTGAATAAGTTATTATATTATTAGTTATATACCCATTAAAATATAGGATTTTAAACAATACTTCGATGAAATACTGTCTCAGTGTTTGAATGATGTTACTGTATAATTGGCAAGTGATAGTAATTCACCATCCAACAGATATGTTTGAATAAGGTGAAAACTGTAAGTGATAATAAAGTAGTGGAAAATGTTCCAACATCATCATAACTGTTAAAAGCAATTTAATTTATTTTAATACTGAGGAGGTTTCGATGAATTCAAACCTATGCACTCAAACTGAGATGAACTTTCCAGATTATGAGATCTCAAAAGGGACATTATATAATGAAAATTATGAGTATTGCTCATATAAATGGGATTTGAATAACTGTTAAATTAAATCTGATTTCTTTATTACGTAATACTTTTTGAAAGTATTAAATTATTAAATTTATTGTATTATTGATTATTTTTTCTTATAAAAATAGTTAAGTATATGTAAAATAATTTGGCATTTAATTTTTCACCAATTTAAGTTACAAAATCTAAGTAATTTATGCTATTTTATCTCATATCTCATTTTACACATGATTTAGAATTCTCTCTA